CGCGAAATAAATGAGTGGAAATCCGTAACCCTGATCCCGTGGACTTGGAGAGCAATCAATAGGAGGAGGCAGGATGGAAACACTGACAACAGAAGAGGCCTTGGAGAAGAAGATCCACACACCAATTACCTCCTAGCGCTTTTGTTAAATATTTACGCTTTGGCGCGTATATTTAGCTTTGACTTTTTGGTATGTTTCATTCGACAAGAAGGTTAAGTTGTGTGATTATAAGAAGATGAATTTGGTTCACTTCTTGCTATTAGATTACGACCGCTACCCAGCAGAGTTTACGATTGAGTAAAAGACCACGGTTTCTCTTTGCTTTGATATCACTCTTACCAAAATTTATCCGACCGGTAATAATGTTGGATTCACACTTAATGATGTAACTGTAGAGAAAAGGAGGTACATGTCTGAAGGTATTTGATAGTCTATACTCTCACTCAGCGAAAAGCTAAATAACATATTAAAAAGGGGGAATTTCATTAATTCGATGTTTTTCTTGCAAAGTCCCTTTGCCCCAAGAAGGAGGAGAGTCCTTGATGATGGCATTGAGGAACACTGATGGTAGCTAACATAGTAGCCTCAGCCGCGGTGAAGTCTCTGAATACTTTTTTCTCTGAATAATCGCATTTGTGATATTAATCGTTCTTCCTGACACAGCGAGGTGGCTTACTGAAAAAATCGCTCCCAATTCGGAGCTAATACTTACGGTGTAGAGCTTTTTAAGAAAAAGGAGGGTCCGAAGTATTATTTACGCATAGAAAATTTCTCACAGGAAGGAGGAGCGCCCGGCGTAGCCGGGCGAACCCATAAGAAGGAGGGAGCCCTACGTTAGCCGGGCGGCTCGACTGGTATTCCTCTATTTTACATTATAATCATATCCCTACAGCTTCCTCAGAGTTGGAACACTATACCACTACATATAAGGATTCTTCTATTCTACATTCCAATCATATCCCTATAGCTTCTTCAGAGTTGGAACACTATACCACTGCATATAAGGGAAAGATCTGCGACTGATCGGTCAGTTACACAACAGATCAGTCGCAGATCTTTCCCTTGATAGCTATATAGATATAGCTGATGGGTGTGTCGGCCAACACCCCTATAGCGTAAATACTAGCACACGTGAACGCTCCTTATTTGAAGAGAGCAAATTGTGAGTTAAAACATTGCCGACTCTGATTTCTTCCTCCCCTTGCACCCTCGCAGTCTACACCTGCCACCTTCTATTGGTTGTCCATTACCGCCCGTGTGTGGAATTCGGTCGGTCCAATGGGGGACGGTCAAGTCGTGCGTCAGAGGACGCGCGCGACAAACTGCGCGGCGAAGTTCGTCCGATTCAAACGACTCTGCCGCCTATTGCTGGGGCACAAACTTGAAGTAGAATAGTTTGGTATGGTAAAACTGATCCTACTAATCTACTCTACTACAGGTTTGTCCCCCAATGATAAACGCCGCAGTCGTCCAAATTCGCCACAAACATCTCCGCGCCATTTGTCGCGCGCATCTTCGACACATACCCGGTCCAATGAAGCAACTTATGAAAAGCTGCATAAACGCACCATTCACCGCGGATAATACTCTCTCGTCTGATTTTTGACCTATTCCTAACATCTGCCCATTTTTTCTCGGTGTCTGAGCTCTTCTGAAGCCGAAAAAAGTTGTCTTCAGCACATCCCACTCCGGGGACTCCGGTGCATTTCCCACTGGGCTCATATGAGCTCTATCGATTTTGGTGTGGGTGCCACCTGACCGGGATTTGACCGGCCTCTACGAGTATCTTTGCAAATGGTACTACCTTTTAGAACAAACACATGCACACTTATATATATACACACATACTCACATACACACATACCCATGCGCACACACATGCACACACACATGGTCGCGCAGACGTACACAGACACAGGGACATACTTGTGCATATGGATACACAGATGCACACATCATCCATCCAGGCAACTACCCGCCCACCATCAACCAAAAAACAAAATGAAGACAACAACACACCGATAAACGTAATTAACGGACTGTATGTAGCAAGAAGACGACTGATCGCTGATGTTATCGCGGGAAAGTCATTCAAGAAGTGGAGAGCGAGATGTTTCTCATTATAAAACATGATCTTGCTCTTGTGCATGGTCGTATGCTTTACAAATGCTGTGCGTTATACAGAACCGGACTGGTTTGAGTTCTCAGTGAGCTGCTTTCTGATTCGCTTTACTTTTATTCATTACTGTTTATACATGTCAAGATTAATAGTGGAGATCGCAGTACATTTATAAGTCACCCTGCTTGCTTCTAGTCATCATCTTACAAAAGCTATAAAGCATTCTGTGCTATCACAAGAGAACGAAGTGATTTTAACCCATTGAGTACCGCGTGCTGCTTATGGTGCACACGCCTTTTCGCCTCTGCATGCCCTCATTTTGGTCCACAATCACGCTAGGGTTTGAATAAAGTTCGAACAGCATACATTGTCTCGTGGCGTGGCGGTGAGCGGTCGGTTCCCGCCTGGCTCTAACGTACCCTACTGCCCTACTGGTTTACGCTGGCTCCCGTCCGCAATATTGTTGGATCTTCATATACCATATTTCAAGCTGATAGGAAGGATTAACTCCAACACTGTGTCCCTAGTGGCAGGGGATCTAAGAATCGTCTGTATTGCACTAACGAAGGTGATTTCTTGTTTTGATGGATCGACCGCCATCGACTGGTCATTCTTGATCTCTTTGCTGACACGTATCTGCTAGCTCTCTTGTGGCGGAAAGTGCTTATTCTTGCACTTTACTAGGTTTTTTTATCGGTTGGGCATAATGAGTTCGTTGCTCTTTGTGGTTTCTAAGTTTAAGGGACGAAAAAGGGGACTCATTGACTTTGGATCTTCGCAAGCCTCTGAACAAGAGAAGGCTGTGGCATCGGCAGTTGATCAATCAACGGCTAATGACTCGATGCCTGCTTATATGAAGACAATCGTCGACTATCTAGTGGATGTAAAAGAGAGGCTTGACGTTTTAACTTCTGAGAATAAGGGGTTAGCTGAAGAAGTTCAAGAACTTAAAGATGAAAATTCTCGTTTACGCTGCTTTCTGTCGCAAAAATCACAGTCTGATCCATTAGTTGGAACAAATAATTCCTCATTTCAAGCATCTCTTCCTAGCAAGAATGGAAATCCAATTAGTGTTGATTGTTGTGAATTAGAAGAAGTCTCACGTTCCCTAGTAATCATTGGCATACCTGAATTTGGTGATCCGCTTGCTTCTAATCGTGTTATTCATGATTTTGACTGTGTTAGACAACTTTTCAATTTGCTTAATATTGAATGCGTCCCATTGTCTCTTTACCGTATGGGCAAGCCAGCTCAGTCTTGTCCTAGGTTATTGAAGGCGATACTCCTTGCCGCTAGATTCAACGAGGAAGCTGTCAAGCTTGCACCCACCCCTGGGTTGTCCCCGTTCAGGGGCACTTATATTCAGCCTCGCTTCCTAAAGCTGAAAGGGATAAGCTTCGGGCTTTGAGACTGGCGGCACGTGGTAAGCCTGACAAATTTCCTACAACGCGGAACGATACTTCTCCAGTCACTACTCCAAACAATCATGGTAGACTTGAAGATGTTAGTATGTCATCAATAAGTCCTTTAAATGTTTGATGTTTCCACGGTGTTGTGGCTGTGAGTTTAAGTCTGCTGAGCAATACTAGGTCATTCCCCAGGAACTGCAATTCACTGATATGTATTTCTTTTAACTGGAAGTCGGCATGATTTTGATATTATTGCCCTTACTGAAACCTGGCTCAAAAAGTCGTTGGAAAATTCCACATTCCTCGGTGTTCTGAATCATGAATACAACCTTTTACTGTGTGATCGGCCACGCAGGGCTGGTGGAGGTGTCACGTTATTAATTAGAAACGAATATTCGTATCGTGAAATCTTTAAAGAAACCATAAGTGATTTTTACGAGCTTTTGTGCTGTGAATTTTCGGCCCTACCGGTTTTGTGTAGAGTTGCTTTAGCTTACAGAGCGCCTATTTGTTCTCATAGTCTTACTCAACAACTCTTTAAGGCGTTAACTGACCTTTCTATTTGCCCTCATGTGTTCTTAGCACTAGGTGAATTTAATTTACCAGAAATTGACCGGTCTGGTAAAACAACTTATAGTATTGGTAGTCTTGCTGATATCATTTCACGGCTTTGCAAGGATTATGGCTTGAAGCAGATGGTGGCCAACCCAACTCGAGAAAATCATATTTTGTATTTACTGTTCTGTAATAAGGAAGACGTGATCGAAAAGGTGTTAATAGGCTCACCCATTGGATCCAGTGATCACTCTGTTGTTAATTTCCACCTCAGGTTCCCAAAAACTAATCGAACCACCTTTAGTTTGAAGTTGACTCTTTGAGCTGTACAACCGAGATATTAACAAGCTTTATTAGGCCGACGTTTCGGTGCCTTCACCTTCCTCGGAGCCTCGAAAGACAAAAGGCACTTGAGAGACCATCCGATCAAGCACTATTTCAATCTACAAAGAAAGTTCAAAGGGCGCGGACTACTAGGAAGTCGAAAGATGGTAACTAATCTTTGAGACAGTCGACCTTTGGGGTCCACCGATCACCCTAAGCTGGTGTGGTTGCGGTTTAAATAGGGTGAGCCNGCCGAGAGGACTTCGCGGGGGATCGACAGCGTAGGTGAAAACCCACATAGTGCTGCAAAGGGCGCCAGCTCCGTGGTAACCGCCACGCACTCTTCCCTCCAGTTAATTTTAGGGGCCTTAGCCATGATCCGAAAGGCCTCCAAGGTTCGCCGCGCCGCAATATCGGATTCACGTGGTAATATCGTGACCGCCACCTCGAACCTCGTGTTCACATGACATCGTACCCTATGTTCTCCTAGAGGAGTCGCTGTTCTCGACTTTTGCATGCCATCCAGGTGCTCCTTTATCCTGATGCAAAGAGGCCTGCCTGTTTCTCCGATATATTCCTCTTTACACTGAAGACACGAGATTAAGTATACAACACCGGATGACATGCACTCTCCTTCCTTAACGTATGGGCATATGACACACGAAGGCCTTGTGCACAGGCGGTCGTACAGGCGATTTCGGACCAATCGTTGTTTGAGGTTCGAGGGTGGGATACCCACGACTCTCACCATGTCCTTAAGACCTGCCTTCTTCACACATGATCGTATGGCCGCACTTAATTCGTCTGATATGAATGGGACACAAAACGGATCTTTTGTTTCTTCTTCCACCATTTTGCGCAGGTTTTTTGCAGCTGACTGATAAAATCTGCCATTACCTTGCTGATATAGACTGGTACGGGTCACTTCAGAATTAAGCAAATGCCAGTGAAATGTATGAACTTTTTGTGTTTGTTATCAGGCATACCATACAAATTTTCGTCCCTATTGTGGAAAACTCTGGAGGTAGACCGCACTTCCCTGATTATCATACGAGATTCTCTGAAATTTGTTCTCATGCTTGGGATATCGTGATGAAGTAAAAAATTCAAAGTGATATGGAAGAATACTTACGTTCAAGAAAACGCTTCATCAGGAAGCTTGAGAGGTACAAAATGAGGATTGAGAAGAAAGTCATAAACTCTGGGAACAAAGCAGCGTTCTCCGAAATGCTTTTTATGAAGCTTAGTAATCGTCAAGGCATAGAAGCACTCAAAGATCCAGGACTAAATTTACCTTTTTAGATCAAGCTAAGGTCGATTTATTGGCGGAACATCTTTCGTCGGTATTCAATCCATCTGATACTGTAAAGGAACGAACTACCTGAGTATCCGCCTTTCCTACCATGGCCCACTGCCTTTGTTTCCAGGAAGGCGAGTTGGCTGGCTGTATAAAAAATGACCAAAATCCTTCTCTCTCACTCCCGATGGTGTCCCTCTCTGCTTCCAGAAGCGTGTATGGGCTGTGGACTTGAGTCCTCTTAGATATATAATGAACCTTTCCCTTATTCGGGGCGAGGTGCGCCTTCTTTGGAAGCGTGCTTATGTTACTCCTGTGCCTAAAAAGCCTCCATATGATATCGTATATAACTGCAGGCCAATAAGTATTACCTCGATGATAGCCAGAGTATTCAAGAAAATGGTCAGGAAAAAAATTTTGGATCACTTAGATAAATATCATGTACTCAGTCCTAATCAGCATGGCTTTGTTAAGTGCAAGTCTACGCTAACTCAATTACTTGAGGCGCGATTGGACATTAGGTATGGATAGGAAGAAAGAGGTCCGTATTATTTATTTTGACTTTATGAAGGCATTCGACAAAGTACCCTAGTGGAAACTGCTGCTCAAGCTGCAAAGTTTTGGAATGCGTGTTACTCTTCTTTAGTGGTTACGTTAATTCATCATGAGTAGAACATTCCAAGCTCGCATAGGAAACACCTTTTCTTTGGCTCAGTAGAACACAAGTGGAGTGCCACACTGGGAGTTTTATCTCCTCTACTATTCAACATATATACGTATGAGCTAAATTCGGTCATCACCAGTGTTGGGGTCCAATGCAAGATTTTTGCCGATGATCTAAAAATCTCCAAAGCGATTGATTTAGCCAGTGATACTGCATGTCTTCAAACAGCTATTGACGCAGTTTGTACATGGTCTAAAAAGTGAGAGCTCTCACTTTCACAGTAAAAGACCCAAGTTCTGATTCTATCCCATTCGCACCCAAAACCTTATTCTTACTATATGGAGGGCAATGTTTTGGAAACTATTAAGGAGACAACGGATCGTGGTTTTGTTATTAACCACAACCTTAATTTTGATGACCATACAAGCAAGATTGTCAGCAAGGCTACCAATAAGATCTTCAATTTTCATAAAGGGTTCAGAAGCAAGGATGTTCCAGTACTCCTTCGTGCATTTAAAACTTACTTCCGCCGTATCCTTGAATATGGAACTGTTATTTATAGTCCACATAAGAAAACCCTTATTAAGACTATTGAGAATGCACTAAATGACTTCACTAGGAAGCTATTAATTAGAGTTCATGGGTATAACTATATGACTATACCTCGCAGTGCTTCGTACTCGGGGAGGCAATCTCAAGGTATATATCCCCAGTCCAAAGACTCTACATTGATCTCACTTTTTCTGCCACCGTGCTGGCTTAGAATTCAACAGAAAATCGTGAAACGGGGTGATAAGCCTAAAACCACTGCTCAGTTCAAAAACTTGCGACTCAACACTTGCAATGAAATCATGGTTCGCAACTTATGTCACTTTGCATTCCATCTTCACAATGTGGCTAACTCACTTTCAGTTTGCCACTGGTTTTCCTCGGCCTTTTCAGCGTGCGTGCCGTTATATTCAATTTGATCTATTATCCACTCTCCCATTATTAATTCACCATTATGAATTGTAGCCTCAGTTGTTTGTGCTCTGGTTCATGTTTTATTGCTATGGCTTGACACGAATGTCTTCGTGTAATAAATCAAATCAAATCAAATATATCATACTTTGCGATTCCCTACCAACCGCTCTGTGTGGCCGCGTGGTGTACGCCTCGAGTCACGTCGAGGCGTCGCTTCTGAAGAAAGCGCCGAGCACATGAGCCAGCCAGCGCGAAAACACTGCGGCACGCAAAGGGTTAAATAAGGGTTGTGGAAGATGACCCTTCAACCCTTTCTATTCAAGGCCAAACTCGTAATGGAATTGTTTCCGTTGTCGCTCTCGTGTCGAAAAGGACTAGTAGAGCGAAATAAACGCTTAAAGTTTGGTAATGCTAACGGTGACGATAGTCAGAAACAAGCTGCACTTGTTTGGTTTCGTTCGGAGCTGCGCCACCCTTGTCGCGTGCAGAGCGCGAAGGAGCTCATTTGTCGAGAATGGAATCTGTTGAGGTTTGAAAAGTTGTTGGTCTTGATGGCATGCTGAATGAGTTCTGGAAGGCGCTAGAATAGCACGTGGTTGGGCGACTCACCTGGTTCTGAACATCGCGTCTGCTGAAGAGAGTTTCGCGATGTCTCGAGAAGCAGCAGTTCCCACGTTCAAGCAGAAATAGGTTGCGACGGATTTTCTAACAGAGATGGGATCACTATGGCTGTGCACACCGTAGAGTTAGGCCAGGAGTTTGTTAAACTACGAGAGTCTGTGCGTATCTTTCGAAAAGAGATTTCAATTCGTAAAAGGTCTAGAAAGATGCCGTCGTTAAAGATAGACAGGCAATGGAGGAGTATCAAGAAAACGCCTGCTTATATCCTTCCACTTGAATAGGGTAGTTCACCACCTACCGTGTCCTGTTCTCCAAAGAGCGCTCCGAGGACGAAACGTTTCAGAACAGATAATGTTCCTGACCATGAAGATAAACGATGGACGATGGATAAACGATCAAGATGAGCGCCCACCTCAATGGTTGACAAGAGCAATAGACATTTCAGTTGGGATTCATCAATGATCAGCTCTGGGCTCGCTCCTCTTGAACCTGCATTGAATGTTGATTGACTACTGAGTGACGATCTCTACGCTGGTGACTCGCTCCAATAGCGGAGTGTAGGAAAGAAGTTGAAG